TAGCAACCCACCTTTCGGACTAAATAAACTAGGGCACCCGACGACCCGAGATGACGAAGCCATAGACATCTTGACTAGATTACCACTAATTAAATAATTAAAATTTAATAAAAATTTGATAAAACATTGTTTCTTTATTTGTTATATTTATTATTTTATGTATCTCAATGCATGTTCTTTTACTGCTTTTATCAAACATAGATTGCATGTGTTAAGAACAAATAATGAAGAAATAAAAGTTATTTAGATTAGGGAGAACCTAGAAATCATAACACTAGGGAATTACTTAGCTTAAGTGAACCTAGTCTTTGCCTAGGTTTGAACTATACCTCCACTACCCTTTAATTAATTCGCTATAAAATTATCGAAACAAATAAAACTTTTAATAATAAGATTGGAGGACCTAAAGACTTGAAGACATTTCAGTATGGAACTTGAAGCAGACTTCGTGGGCAGCTCGTTCAATACCCTTTCTTTAGTTTAATAACAATCCTTAGGATTCAAAGGCTGTCTTTTATGACATAAAACCTCTCTTTTTTAGGCTCATGCATAGTCTTGATATGCAGCATGTCCTATCTTATTTTAGGATTCTGAGATAGTCACTTGATGTAAAACCCCCTCTCTTTCTAGGCTTTTTGTGTAAATCATCTTTACACAAATCTAAGCCCTAATTAGTAAAACTGACAAGAGTTAACTTAAATTAATATCATCATAAATTGAGCCAAATATTAGGATAGTTTGGAAGATTACCAAGAACCTATTTTGAATCTTTAATCTCCCCTACCTTTCATCCTTTGATTCTTAAAACTAAATCTTTGACCTTTGAACCAATCCCTACTGAAAATTTCGCAATCATGTTCGTTGAAAACCCTTCCTTTTAAATTCATGAAAACAAAAGATTCCTGATTTTTATCGAGAGTTTTCTTAAGTGATCTGTTCGTTTAAGATGTGATTAACTATAGGGGCTTGCCCTTATAGGGAACTTAAAAGAACCCAGTCTTAAAATAAACCCTATTTGACTTCCATATCGAATAGGGGAATTTGTCGGTCATCATGCAAACTTGCAGATCAAACAGAAGTCATTTATTTCTATAGTTTATTCAATTGAAATTATTATCAAGTAGTGTATTGCCTTTTAGGGTGGTACATTACTTATGTTTAGCTCGATTATTCAAACTATAGGAATCAATGAAATTAGTTTGACCCCATTTTCTTCAAATTAAATCACCCCCAGCTCACACCCAGCCGCATTTTCTAAACAGTATGTTACGCTAAATTAAATTGCACCCAGCCGCATGACGACCGACATATTCTAAAAATAATATAGCAATCGCAGCCACCATTCTTTTGCGACGTTCTCGATATCGATTCAACCTGAAAAACCAAACAATCATCACATGAACAAATAAACAAAAATGTAGGTTGAGTAGTAGTTCTAATATTTGTTAACCAATCAAACAACACATAAACATCATAATGCTAAAGCGAGTTCAACATGTAAAGGTCTTTAGCATAATACAACATAATACAATAGCCGGCATATCAAGCAAAGTTCACAAATACAACAATCAATTTTTTATAGAAAGACGCAAGTATTGCACGTGCAGCTCAGGCCAAAGCCTCTTGAAAATATGTCTTTTTGTTGGGCATTCAAGCACCCTAACACATTTTAAAAAGAAATCGTTATCAGCCATAACTTCAAATATGTCTTCTAACAGATTCATAAAACGATCAACACGGGGATCATCTACTTCTGGTTCAACAGGTTGTGGAGCTGCAAATACTTCTATCAGTCGGTCTACTGAGCTTTGCACGAATACATCTTTGTTTTGTATCTTTTTCTCCATCATACGCCTCTTTGATTGGCCTGTGGACTCGAGCTCCCTCGGGTTTATGCTAGGACCTTGACCAGAACCCATAAGTGGATCAGGTGTCAAGTCAAGTGATATGCCATCGAACCCCAACTCACTTGGGTTGAAGGTATTATGCCCCATAGCTACCACACCCTTAAACATAACATCCAATTTGTCTTCCAATTTCGGGTCAATTCCACACACCTTAAATTTTTTCGCATTTAGCACTGCCTGCAATGAGAAGTAGGGCATATTAATAAAAATTGCAATGGATAAACCGAATGGGGGGGGAGTATTATCTCTAGTTTCTCAGCCCACCATTTTTTTGAAGCATCTACAGTACGTTTGATGAGATCCCAACCAAATCCTGTGGATCCTCGTTTTAGTTCCTTCCATAACTTCCAGTCTTTTTTGAGCTGATTCCACTTATTTTTGAATTTTAACCTGTCATACTCACAGCTTGTCATTTCCTTGAACTTATTGGAAATATTTTGTCACTCTTCTTTGTTAAAATAGGTGGTAGGCCGATTACCAATTTCAATCTCCTTAATACATAAAAAAAAATGAATGATTGTGACATCTTTATCCCACATAGCTGAAGTAGAGGCTTCTTTTTTCTTTGCCATAATGATACTATTAAGAAAATGATTCAATTCTTCAGGAATGCTATCAAATATCAGACAATACTGAGCAATATTGTAAAAAAAAGAAAGGGAGAATGTTATAACAACTAACATAGCATTTGTGAACATCTCGTTTTTAAAGCCATAATTTTATGTCGTATGTATTTCTAACTTTATAAAGCAAACAGAACTTCCAACAGCTATGTAAATGCAGCAAACAAAACCTCCTTCCATATAAGGCCCAACATTTTATCGAAATATAAATGCAGCTCTATAAATATAACTGCATATAAACAGCCACATTCTTATCCATATTCTTGTTCATAAATGTCACGGAAAACTGTCTTCAAAACCAAATGCCTTATCCCACGTAAATAGCACTAATAATATAAGTCTTGAAATGGTGCCTAATATATATGTGTTCAATCACCAGAGTAAGAGGACTTATTGCCTTCAAAACCAAATTACAGTATGCCTTATCCCAAACTCACCAAATGATAGTATGTCTTATTGCCTTCAAACCAAATGACAACATGCATTAAAAGATTATCAAAAATATATTTCAACAGAATTTTATCAGGAAGATAAGAAAAAATAACTCAACATAAGAAGCATGGCTATAATTTTCAAGCTTCCACCAAATGCCCCATTTCAAAGATATGACATATTGCCAAACAAATTCAAGCTATATATCACCAAGTGCCCCATTTCAACAGTATGCCTTATTCACTTCAACAGAATTTTACTTGTGTTAAGTGATTGCAGAACCAATAACATTCAAGCCATATATCGCAAATAGATCAAACTATATATGTAACTGCCATGATAACTGTATATCAGCGGGTGAATAAAGAATTGCCCATAAGGAGGGTCATCCAAGCTGCCATGATAACTGTATATCACAAATAGAACATATCAAGAAATTGCCTTCAACAAAGAAACATTCACATATATGGGTACTAAAGGCTGTTAAGAAGGATTAGGCTATACAAAGCCAGGAGCCTTGAACAAATTAATAATATGAAACACCTACATCATTATCAGAATATATGATGAGATGCTCATAGAGTGCTAAAGAAAAGCTAACCCTAAAGAATATCCCAATAAATCTAGATATATTTTTTTTTAACTTTCAAAAATTTGCATTTGCAAAACAAATACCCATTCCGAACTGTAAATGCTCAAATGAGGAAAGGCATTGCTCCATCGTTTTAACAACAAGTACCGAAACAACAATCGCACTGTAAATGCAATGATCTTGATCTCCTCTCAGTGTAATTTCTCCTTTTTAAAAACAACAACCACAGTGTTAATGCACAAATACCCAAAACATTGTTTCTTCGTTTTAACAGAAAGGTAAGATCAAAAAGGGCCTTCTCGACAAAAAAATGCAAGGATAAACCGATCCAACCACGGGTTGCATGTAGATAGCAGAAATCCCAAAAACCTCCCATGTCAAGCCCTTCCCAAAAAAATAAGGCATCACAAAATCGGAAAACTTCAACGATAAGGCATCAACTAAACTCTTGATTCTTACGGTAACCAAAGACAACATCTTACAGAAGGATCGGATCGAATGGGAGAAGAGAGAAGAAAGTGTTAGATATCCTTAGAGCGCGACAGTAGGGCGCGATAGATATAGATCTCCCCTTCTCAGAGTGAGGAACGTCTCTTCTCAGAGCGAGGAACGTTTGGGCATGAAATGGGGAAAGCGATCGAGGAAGGTTAAGGCACGAACTAGGGAAAGCGGAGGAGGCGGAGGGGTAAGTACTGTAAAAACCCTTTGAAACGCTCGAACGCGGTACATTAGGTGCGGGCCGCGGTGCTTTAGAAATCAAATTGCGAGTTTTACGGGGGCCAACCAAAGCGCTCGAACCAAACTAATGGGATGCGTTTTCAAAATGCACAATTCACAAATAATCCCCCCCAAACGGACCCTTAGTTTTATGTTTCTATTTTAAAGGCCAACATTCAGCGCCATAGAACATTGCAAGTCACCATCATTTTATAAAACTTTCCTTTCAATCTAAGCGATAGTTTTCAATCACACAATAGGCCCGAAGCATCCCTCCACTTCAACCATCTTCTTATTAGTTGCATGTAGAATAAATTAAAAGCAATGTATTCTGAATACTTATAAATTATTTGGTTGTGTGTAAATAGAATGTAATAAAAGAAATTATTTTTCTTCTTAATATATCATATATTTTTTATAAATTTGTGTGTACTCATTCTCATTTATATAATGTTTCATAATAAAAATAAGTTAAAATATATACATGCTAAAATATACTTAATATTTCATATAATTTTTACCACTCAATACATATGTATTTACATATTAAACACTTAGATTTTAATTTTTACTTATATACCACTTCACATATGCATGGAAATATGTATTTTATCTTTTTTTTTTAAGTTGTCAATATGGTATTTTTGCTGTAATATGAAAGAATTAGGGGACAAATTTAAAAAGCAACGTTTAGGTTTTAGATTCGTAAATAAGGCAGAATTGAGTGGTATTTTTGTAAAAGCCTCTAGAAGTGAAAATTGGCAATGCATTCGAATTCATGCATAAACCTTCAAAGAAGTAATGAACACATAATTTTAGCAAAAAAATGTCCATCCCAAACTACATTTCGTGAACACAGTAATGAACACATAATTTTAGCAAAAAAATGTCCATCCCAAACTACATTTCGTGAACACATGTAACTAAAATTTATATGTTTATAAGAACAGCACATAAAATTAATATGCAGGAAAAGATAATTACAATATGTTGTTGAGCTATCTGACACCACATTACTTCAGCAGCTTAAACTTCCTTTGTGAAAACATATTCCAGAAACCAATTTCAGGAAGATTAAATGAGGAATAATACACAATAAAATGTCATCAGAAATACACATTTTGAGTACTTGTAAGATCAAGTCGATGGCAAAGCAACATTAAAAAGAGCTACCAATGCTGCATACCAATTCTTATGTACTTACATCTCTAAACCCTAAACTTTAATTTTTACATGTATGCCCCCTTCCTATGCATAACACGGTGTATTTAAATTTAAGGAAAAAATAATGGCATTTTTTATGTGATATAAAAGATTATGGCTAAGAGTAATCCCATAAACATGAATGATATAGAGAGTGTGAAACAAGATAATGATTGAAAAGGTAAAACATAATGTTATATCCATAAAATTACAACAAGATAATGATTGGATAGAAAAGGTAAAACATAATGTTATATCCATAAAATTATATGTCTATCTAATGACTAAAAGCAGTTTTAATGCCAAAAGAAAGAAAAAAGATAATGGTTCAAACATAGTCAATAATAATTTCTTAACTTTCCTCTTAACGTGGTTGAATTGTCACTCTTCCCACTTTTCAAATATTTGTGATATGAATCAAACATGGAAAGACCACTACCCAAACTACAACTTCACTGGAACTAAATTGATGTGCATATAAGTTCAGGTCACACCAACATTGTAACATAACTTAAAAAAAAATTATAGATGGAGCTTATCCAGCATAATCGTAAATTTCAATTCAACAGATGATGAATATAAATAATATAATTTTGGATTCATATAATAACTAAGTGGTATCTCGGTTTGCTTCACTGAACTCAGGAAGTATATTAAATTATCTTTATCAATACAACAGTGCCCACTAGTATAACCAGCTTAGATGAAATATATCCAACGTTGCCTATAACATTCCCATGTGTATAAATACCTTATGTTGTAATGAAAAGTATTATTAGTGAGTTCTGTATGTATTATTCTTTTGAGCATCTTCTCTGCTTTCATTTTCTCTATCTCTAAATTCTGGAACTTATCTAAATTTTGAATCATATGAGATTACTGAATTCTAAATTTAGATACTGTCTTCATGTGTTCATAAGACTTTCGAAAGAACATGCATGCATCCTAACTTGGTTAAGGAATAAACAAATGAGTATTTAAAATTATGAATTTCATAGAACAATAAGGGAAAAAACTTGTAAGTTCTGATAACTAGGAATGCAAGCATAATTGCATATGCAAATATACATAAAAATTTTAGAGGAAAAAGCCTAATAAATCGGATTTTATATCCTATACAACATTCAACATGAATGAATAAAAATAAAGCATTCATGAGATTGAGATACAATAATGATTGAAATGAAAGTTAGGTCTGAAATATAAAAATGTAAAACTGCGGGAAGACAATTGTGATCATGAGCTTGTTGAACTTTTCAAATTTGTTTGATCTTAAATTTTGAAAGTCAAACTGTTTATATAAATTTCAAATATTCAATTGTTGTTCTATCAAACTGCTCTCAAATTTTAAAATTCTAAAGGTTCACAAACTCAAACTTTTTACAATATGTTGATTTACAACAGCAACAACAACAAGCCTTTATCTCACTAGGTAGGGTTGGGTACATGACCTTTTTCTCCATTGTGTCTTGTTGAGTGTCATATTTCATTTAATTCTAATAGATTAAGATTATTTTTTATACAATATGCCCAAGTCTTTTTTAGGTCAACCTCTGCCTTTATTAACATAAGACAAATATAAAACATCTACTATCCTAACTAGATCATCAGATGGTCGACATTTAATGTGAAACATTTAATGTGAACAAACCATTTAATGTGAACAAACCATCTAAGACGACTCTCTCTAATCTTGTTTGCTACTGGAGCTACAACAACCCTATCACGAATATATTCATTTCACATTTTCTTTGTACCAAGCCACTCATCCATCTAAACATTCTCATCTCGACAATACTTCACAAGAGTTGATCTAAATTGAGAAATTTTTTAGAGCTGAAATATAAGAATGTTATACTACAGGAATACATAGTTTATTTTGAGCTTGTTGAATATTTCAAATTCATTTAAATACCAAGCTCTTAAAGTCAGGTTGTTTATCCAAATTTGACAGATTCAAGAGTTATTTTGCTAGATAGTTCTTAAGATGTAAAACTCTGACAACTTTCCTGAATATGCTGATTTGAATTGATAATTTTTTTTTGTCCATATCCATCAACAAATTTACATTATAAATGACATACAAGAAAAAATATAATAAATTTAACTATTGCATATTACAAAAATCATAAAAAGACTAAAAAGAAAGTGATATTTGAAATATAAATATATGAAACTACATGAAGACATTGATGATCTTGAGTCTATTAAACATTTCAAATTCGTTCAAAATACTAAATTTTAAAAGCCTCATTTATCCAAATTCAAGAGATTCAACACTTATTCTGGCAAAAAGTTCTCAAAATTAAAAACTCTGAATATTTAGAAACTCTAATTTTCTGAAATATGATGTTTTGAATTGCTAAAATATTTTATCCATATCCATCAATAGGCTTACGTTATAAGTGACATCTGAGTAAAACATGATAGTGTTAATCATTATACATTATGAGAAACATTGAAAGTCTGAAAAGAAAATGACATCTGAAATATAAAACATAAAATTGTGAGAAGACGTGGGAGATCTTGATACAAGTTAGCATAACACTTTAAAATAAAACAAAGTTCAAAACGCATTACGAACCAAAAATATAGCCTACCATATATTAGAGATCATAACATATTCATTAAATAAAAATAATGTGTTAATTCATAAAATCAAAATATAGAATAACATACTAGGAGTCTCCCTCTCTTTCTAAACCTGGGGACCTCTTTTATCGTTGGCCACCAACCTTCATCTCAGGTTGTTATTCTGTTCCTCGAGTCATCGCATCTCAGATGAAAGCTAACATTTGATCCTTCAACTCCTGGATCTACTGGGCTGCGAACTCTCTGACACACTCCATATCATCGGTGTCTCTGTTGTAGATTTTCTCTTTGCAGTTTGTTCCTTTTCTTTTTGTGGCATGATCCATCTCGTGACATTTTTTATGAAGTTGAATCCAGATTTGTTCTGAATCACACCCAATGAATAGAGCCTAAGTAAGCAGAGAGAGAGAAAAAAAGAGAGTAAGAGAGAGAGAGAGAGAGAGAGTGAGTGAGTGAGAGACAGAGAGAGAAGTAAATAGTAATAAATAATAATTCATTGTGTCTTATTCGTAAGATGATTCCCCTATTTATAGAGGTGATGGTTCACCATCTTGATGTTACATTTTTTCCCCTACTTTAAAGGGACTCATATGAGGGGAATTATGTTATTTTACAAGGGAAAACCTATTATCCGACTACTTTCTAATTTAATTGGCTTCAGGCCTATAAGATCGACTCAGTCGGCTGAGAGAGTGAGTGGGAGATACATAGAGAAGAGTGAATAGTAATAAACAATAGTTGTAGTGTCTTATTATAACATAGTCCCCTATTTATAGATGAGAGGGTGCAACATTGTGATGTTACATTTTGGCTTCTACTTTAAAAGGGTGCATGCCGAGATATTTCTGGTATTTTATACAAATAATTAATTTTATTCTCTGATTGCTTTCTTACTCAACTAGCTAGGCTTAATTGGCTTCAGGCCAGTAAGATCAGGTTGATTGGATGAGATGTACTCGATCAGCCAAACTTCTTAGATATGGATCTGCTCAGTCGTTTGGGCTTAGTCTGCGTGGATCGACTCAGTCAATACAACCTAGTTGTTGATTCTTGACCCCTAAAGAGGAACCTCTAAATGTCTCTAGGATGCTTGGATATGCGTGGGAACCAGATCTTCCCTTGGGTTGGTCATCTTGTGATAGTTGACTCAGATAATCTCTTATATCATTTTTGGCTGAATAACTCATTCTTGTATCTTTCGGTCATTTTTGGTTTGTCTTGTGGTTTGATAGGCTTTGGCTTTGTTGGTTTGGCTTGGACAACTTCACACAGTTGGATAAGTTGAAATCACGATCTTGTACTCTTTCATTTATGATTGTTATATTAGATCTCTTCAGGATCAGTGCTGACACATTATTGATGTACAACTAGTGAGGTCTAATTAGATTAAAAAGAATTAAATATATTAATTTGATTGTCATTGATTTCAATTTAGTAAACAATTGATCATAACTATTATCATATTTGATATTGATTCCATTTAGGTAGTACAATATTATGTAGATATTACAAGCTCTTGATGTCATTCACTTCTTGCTAATATATATAGTAAATCACAATCTTTTGTTGTTTTTGTTGCATGTCTCAATTCATTGTTGCGTATACTTTAATAAATGACAATAACTTATTGAGTTTTATTTGTCAAACGTATTTCTTGATAATTTCTTATAATATATTCTACTAGGTCATTCGGTGAACCTTCACCACAGGAGCAATTTATTCAATAATAGATTTATTTATGATATTTTAGGTTATGTATCAGCAATTATATTTTTTTTCAATTTGAATAGCTTTTTTTTATAGCTACTTTTTTAATTTCGTTTTTTGTTAGATATTGTTTTTTTTGGGGGTTTTTACATAAATAACACCTAAGACTTTCATTAATTTAATAAAATAAAACTGATTTTTTATTGTTTTTATTTATTATCCTTATTGTTCGCAAATAGATTTCCCTTCTTGTGAATATGAAATAACTTTTTTATATTTTTTCATTATGTCCTACATTATTAGAGTGTATCACCTTCCGAGCTGAGAGTGACAAAAAAATGTGGACATTATGCTTTTGCTTGAGAATATCTTGTTTTTGTATATTTACTAGCATGGTGAGATGTCCTCTCTATCTCTCTATCTCTATTCATCTTTTTTTCTCTCTCTCAACCATTTGCTATGTTATGAAAAAATGACGACAATAAAGTGAAAAACTGAATTCGAAAAATTGCAAATAAGAAAATAACACTGATTTACGTGGTTCAGCTAATTTGCCTACGTTCACGGAACTGCAGAGAATTTTAGTACTTCAAGAAATTACACCGTCGAGCGCTTCAACGTTTACAAGAAAACTTTCTTTCTCTCTCTTAGCTCTGAAAATGACTTGAATTGACACTTATGAGAGACCAAAAGAGGTTATTTAAAGAAAACGGGAGAGAGATAGGTGGAGAGAGATAGGTGGAGAGAGGTAGGTGAGACACGGAATGTGAGATAGGTAAGTGACAGACTCCATATATTTAACAATTCTCCTACTTGGAGACTGAGACACTGACTGCACCACCTACATACTACATCATCTACTGGTTGTACTGACCTTTTTTTTCAAACATGATATCCTCCACTTTCCTCTACCTCCGCAACTCATGGCTTCTGTCTTCATGTTGGAAAACCAATTGAAGTCGAGCACAACTTCAGTTTCTTAATAGTAGCACTCATAGTCGACATATCAGCGTCAACATAGCTTTGTACCTCCAAGTTCTTTCCTGGGTTACTCCTGCATCTGCTTACAACTCCCACTGCATGAGCAATATCCTGCCTTAGCTGAATGCTCTTTTTAATAAGTCCAGTCTTGTACCTCTTACTACCATCAAACGTAGTTTTCACCGGTACACCCACTTGTTCTATAATGTATTCTTCTTTGGTGGAAGTTCTGTCAGCTCCCACTTGCTCAAATTTTCATCTTACAAGATTTCTTCATAGCTCTGACTCATGTGACGAAGTCTCAAATGTTGCAGATCTGTTGTGCACTCTGCAACTATAGTTGCAACAATGTTGAGTAAACCTGTAGTTATATATGTGTCAGTTTTTTTACCCCGAGCTAGTATTAATGCTCATTTGGTAACCTTTTAGGTGCTATTTGAGAACACTATTGAATGACTACCCTCATTGAGCTGCCCAACATAAATAAGGTTTTTCTTCAACTCGGGAACGTGTCTGACCTTTTGCAAAGTCCATTTGTTCTTGTTAGGGAGTGCAATATCAACGTCTCTCATCCCCACTAATCCCGACTGTTTATATGCAACAATATAACAATATATGCGATTATATTTTCACTTATATTTCCTTACTTTACAATAGTACCAAAAACTTGATCCTAAAGAAAATAAGAATTTAACACTTTAATTATATATATATATTTGGGATACTACGTAAGTATACGTATCGTTATCAAATAATACTTTTTGATTAAACCCTGAATATCGATCCTATGGGGAAATTGGCAATATGCACTTTCAAACAATAAACTTCTATTTCAAAAAGACAATTACTTAAACTATAGATAATTTGACAGTAATTAAAATTTAAATGTATTTTTGATATTTTGACAGAATAGTAACAACTTCTAAATAACTTGAGTTTATGTAAAAGAAAAGCACAGAATATGAAAGTATCTTTCTCATTTTCATGAATAAGTAATAAGTATAGGAATTTTGTTGTGGAAGTATGTAAATTGTGTTGTGTCAAATATGAGCAATAATATTCTTTACTCTTACTATAGATTCTATAAAGAATATTGGCTAATTTAAAGTTTGAATTGTTCTGAAGACCGCGCTAGGTAGGGAAGTAACCAACTCTCACTCTAGAGTTCCCTCGATTCTCTCCACCTGGGGGCTAACATATCATATCAGAACCTAAAATAATAAATCAAGTTGGGGACTTTAATCTATCACTCTAAAGTCTTCTAACTCTACACCCTTCAAAGATTATTTCCCTATTTATTTGCACTAAATCATATGAATTACATTCTCAATCATACAACATCATGTGATTATTTCCAATTATTGATTGAGACAATACCAGCCCTGTTCTTATATGTTCTCACAACAAATTTTAACATCTAGATGGGCCAGATCAAGAAGTAAATGAAGTGCATGGAATTAAATCATCACAACTTCTTCCAACATTAAATATTAATACTCTCCACAACTTCCTTCCAACATATTAATTACTTATCATTTTAAGGAGAATGATAAAGAAAACCAGTCATAATCTATGGAGAAAACAAAACCACACTTTAGTTTAAAAATAGAAATCATTGTCAAACCAATAAGAAGTCTCGATGAAAACCAAAAGTAGTTTAAAAACAAAGATAAAAATTTATCTCAAATCCTCCACCAAACACTTGAAGTTCCTTTGAATCTCTTCTCTTTTACAACACTCTAAACTCTCAAAATAAAACTAAAAATAAAAAGGAAAAAGTAAATTTTGTACTACTTCCAACATTAAAGTAATTTTTTGTGGTGCTTGAAAATCTCACCAAAACTATCTCTCCAAACTCCTTAGAACTCCTCTTCTTCTAACTTTTATCTCCCTCATCAAGCACCCATCTCAAATGTCTCAACTTCCTTTTATAAATTTCCCAAGAGGTGCCTTGGAAATTCTTCAAAATGTGTCCAAATTCGATGTATTCTCTAAGGGATGCCTCCTTTCACAAGTCTTTTAATAATATTTTCATTCATAGTGGTCATAATCACCCTCTTGAGCCAATAGGTGCCTTAAATGTCTCTTCAAAATTTGGCCAAATGAAAAAAACAGTCAAATAACTGCCTCTAGCGCTTAATAGTGATGCCTCCGGCGCATAGGCGCGGCCTTCTCTATTTCACGGGCGCTTAGGCGCTAAAACACTTTTGCACAAATTTCACATTTTTGCTCTAAATTTGATCATTTTTCACTTCTTTTAGCATTTTTTAACTTTTTACTTGTACCTAAAAGAAAAACACACAAATAACTTTCATTAAAGCGCAATATCTCAAAAATAGGTATAAAAATGTGCCTAAAATACTGTATATTTTAGTTGTATCACTTACCACGTCTAGAGCTTTTTCATCAGTCAGATATACCTTCCCAAAGTTATCTGCAATATAATTTTGCATCAATTCACGGTGGGAAGATGTATGAAAGGAACCCATTGAATCCAGTATCCAATCATCAACATAATTGTGAACTGCCAGCAATAGATCATCTTTTATTTCTTTAATTATCATATTTGTGCTATCATTCTTCTTCTTCTTAGGATTCCTGCAGTTCCTTTGTATGTGGTCAGCCTTGCCATAATTCCAGCAGGTTGTATATTGGCCAGACTTTGGTTCATTTTTTTATTTTGATTTTCCTCTGTTTGAGTTCTTATCCTGTGATCTCTCTTTGGAATTAAGATTCAGTGTCAAACTCAAACCCGAGATCTCGTCAGAATCTTTCATGTGCACCTTTTCAGCCAAAATCAAATCATGAATATCATCATATTTCAGTTTAGATTTACCAGCGGAATTGCTAACTGTCATCCTCATGGTTTTCCAACTATTTGACAATGAAGCCAATAATATCAACACATGTATCTCATCATCAAAATCAATTTCAATAGATGACAATTGATTTGTGATGATATTGAAATCATTCAGGTGTTGAACAACATATACATCTTCCGTCATTTTTAAGTTGAATAAATTTTTCATCAAGTGCATCTTGTTATTTACCGATGATTTTCATACATACCTGATAAAGTTGTCATGAGATCTGTAGTAGTCCTAGTAGTCCTCTTCTTGATGATATTGTGGGCAACTGATCTCGACAGGGTTAATTGAATAACCCACAGAACCTGTCGATCCAACAGATTACATTCCGTCTCCCCCATATTTTCCGATTTCTTTCCTAATAACAGAAGATAAAGTTTCTTCCCATAGAGGTAGTCCTCTATCTGCATCCTCCACTAAGAAGCAAAATCTGTGTCATTGAACTTCTCGGTCATCGATGTCATTGCTTCGTCTCTGTCTATCATTTTTCCTTAGATATGAACCAAAGCTCTGATATCAATTTTTATAAAAAAATGTCAACAATAAAGTGAAAAACCAGATCAAAAAATTACAAATCAGAAAATAAAACACAGATTTACATGGTTCGACAAATTTGCCTACGTCCACGGAGCTGCAGAGGGTTTTAGTACTTCGAGAAATCACACCGTCTAGTGTCTCGATGTTTACAAGAAAACTTTCTTTCTTTTTCTATCTTTTTCTCTCTCTTTTAGCTCTCAAGAGAACTTGGTTTGGCACTTATAACAGGCCAAAAGAGGTTATTTAAAGAAAACGGGAGATAGGTAGGTGGGAGAGAGGTTGGTAAGTCGCGATAGGTGAGGTAGTTAAATCACAAACTTCATATATTTAACATGCTAAAGCTTTAATACAATAAACAGTTTTGGATGCTTTACAATAAAGAATCTCTTTAATCAATATAGGTAATATTTAATTATACAATCAAATCATGAAGAATTTGGGCTTCTATCTCATGGAATTTATAGTAATGTGAGTTTCAATGCTTATAAATAAGAAGTAAATTGTGCTAAAAAAAATTATTTAGAATTTAAATCATGTAATATATTACTAGTATGAAATAAAATGTGAAGCTTGATAGCATCCACTCCTAATGTGCTTAACAGTACGAATACCATCTCCTTAAGGTCAATTGTGTTAGAGGGGGTTCAAACCCCAACTTGAGAGGTCTTATACTGAGGATGTCAATCAAGAGGCCGAGACACGCGACACAAATGTTATCTAAATCTTTCTTTATGTTATTATTTTTAAAAACATTATATATATATATATATATATATTTGTTCATATTATAAGTGTCCCGCCTTTCATATATATCTTTGATACTAAATGAAGGATGTAGATGTGTGCTCCTCACTGAAAATAAGTTTCTCTTTACTTGATGTTAAATATCATCTATTTAGAAACTTAAGTTACATAAGTTGATGTAATCTATGCATAATGGTTTGTTTATTTATTTATTTATTTTTATGCTTAGCTTTTTCAAAAAATTTAACAATTATTTTTGACTTATATTTGATTTATTTATATTAATTAAACAAGTACTTTAATGAGTTAATAACAAGTAATTGATATTTCATATAAAATTTTTAACAGATGATTATCAATCTGAACAAATAAGTAATTGAATAAATATCTAATTGGTTTACATTAATTAAATAAGATAATATATAAATTGATGGTAAATTTTCATGCAATCAAACAATTAAGTATCACCAAACTACTTTATTGAAATAAAAAATAAAAAAATTTCATTAAATTAAATTGCATATTAATATTAAATTAATTATTATTATTATTAAATATGTAATTAAATAAATTTAATTAATCAAACGTATCATATTAATTAATTAATCAATATATAATATTAATATGAGTTATCATCGAATTTATACAAGTACACTTAACAAATTAGTTGTTAAACAACTTTATTTATAAAGTTGACTTATTTAACATTCCGAATTCTACTCGTTGATCGTGTGCCTTCGCTCATTGATAGCAGCCAATAGCCAAAGTTCCAATTTAACCACGATGGAATTTATATAAATTAATTGAAATTCAAACATTTATGAAATTACTAATTTATAGAAATTCAACGAAGCTGCTTTCTAGGCAGGACTGCATGAAAATCGTCGCTGAAATGCACTAAATATTTGCCCAAATTAAAGTCTTAGAAAATAAAAAATAATTGAATAAATAAATCAAACAAGTAAGGCTCGTTGTTCGTGAACAGCTCGTGTTAGGCTGGTTCGCTAAGTGAACGAGCCGAACGCAAACAACACGAATACATATTTATTTGTTCGTGTTCCGTTCGTTTTGGCTCGAAATACTACTAATCAATTAAATATTTGTAGTATTTTTAAAAAATTTAATTAACTACAAGCTACAAAAATTTTATAATCAATTAAAAGTATTAATTAAGAAAATAGAATAAAAATTATTAAATTAGATTAAAATGTTGTTTTAAATCTTGCCCCTAATCCTTAACATCTTATGGCTACGTGATTAGGGTTGTCAAAACGACTCTTTGTTTGGGAACAGCTCGGGTTCGGCAGCTCGTGTTCGGCTCGCTAAGCAAACGAGTCGAACACAAACAATTTTTTTGGGCTAAATACATAAACAAGCTGAACAGCCAAGCCTGGGCTCACTTGTGCTCGGCTCGTTTACACCCCTACAAACAAGCGTCACGGCCAGCCCACCTTGCCGGCTCCTATAACAGTCCCCCAACTACTCATAATTATCGAAAATATTACTGGGAAAAAAAAAAAAAAACTTCTTGGGGTCTTTTTTTTTTTTTAAATCAACTCAAAACAAACAGCATAAATAAATAATTGCTATTAAAAAGTGACAAATATCTAAAAAATCAAAATTTAGGCGTTAGATATATAAATACATAAGAATTGAGTGGTTAAAAAATCAAACTTTTACTTGTTTTAAAAATCATTCATACAGTCAAATCTTTATCTCCGCAGGAACGAAGAAACCGGTGGCCGAAAAAATATTATATCAGTACTACGCACGTAGAGTAACGTGCGTACCCAATGAAATCACGCCACGATATCCCGCGCGACGCAGAAAAAAAAACGGCGCAGTAACACGGGGAATATTCCCCCCCGTGTTATTCATGTGTTATTGTGTGTTATTCATGTGTTATTGTATCCTATGAATATTCCTGGTGTTATAATAACACAATAACACATGAATAACACATGAATAACACACAATAACACAAGAATAACATGGGAGAGAATATTCTCCCGTGTTACTGCGCCGTTTTTTTCTCTGTCGGGAATATTTCTCGTGTTATTCAAGTGTTATTGTGTGTTATTCATGTGTTATTCATGTGTTATTGTGTTATTATAACACCAAGAATATTCTCAGGACAAAATAACACATGAATAACACTTTTTTTGGCTCTGCCGCGCGGGATGTCGTGGCGTGTTTTGATTGGCTACGCACGTTACTCGTGCGTAGTACTGAAGTAATATTTCTTCCCGGTGGCCACTAGCCTAGGAGACCTCAGCCGCCTGCCACGCACAAGCAGGAGACATAAGCCATTGCATCACTAGCGGTGGTTTCTCCCCCAAGAAAGCACTGACGAAATCCCTAATCCCCGGTTTTTATAAATGATATCCCTTCATCATCTTCTACAGATCGCCAAGCTCTCAGTTCAGATCGAAGAAAATGGAATACTCATTGGAGGCTCCCAGTTTCCGGATCTCTGTCGGAGCATCGGCAGAGCTGTTGAAGGAGACTGCAGAGATCGCCGGAAATGACGATTTCTTGTTGGATGATTTCGAATTCACCTTTACGTTGATCGGATCGGACTCCGACGCCGCCGCAGAAGCAAATGTCGACGAGATGTTCAACGATGGTCGGATACACCCCGTTTACCCTATATTTAACGGAGAGCTCGGCTTGAAGCCTGCAGGAGAGGAGAAATTGGAGGGGGGAATTGGGGCCCTGGCAATGGATTTTGAGAAGCGAGGTCGGCGATCGAGATTGAAATCATCGGCTTCGTTGAGTTCATCGGAAGCCAAGGAACTAGAAACTGCGGATTACTGCGTTTGGAAGAGTAATTCGACGGGGAGATTGAGGCTCCGGGATATTGTGCTGGGTCGTAGCCGGAGTGAAGGGGATAAGCTTCTCTTAGATGCAGCATCGGGGGAGGAGAGAATGGCGAACAGCTGCTTTGCTCTCTTTAGCTCTAACCCTAAATCGGCGGCGAAGAAGGTGGGGAAGAGGGGGAAGAGGGGGAAAGAGAATCCCGGGGCGGTGAAAGAGTTGGATATCGCCACCGCTCACCGGATCTACTACGGCGGGGGAATCTCCGGCGGAGGACCAATGGAGATCGCCGGCTCACGGCGGAGTTTCTTGCCGTATCGGCAGCAGCTGCTCGCCGTCTGCTTCCGCCACTCCAGGCGGAGACGATGCTAGTTCTGAATTCATGACATATATTTTTATTTATGTTGAATTTTTAATAAATTAATTTTGGATGATTTAATGTATAATAATAATATGGGCTATTTACATGCAGCCCATCCATTTCATATGTATTTTTAAATCTGGCACCTAAAATTTACTTTTTTTTATATTAATAGCATTCAAATTTTAAACTCATGTAAAGATTGTTATTATTTTAATTTTTAAAAGGTGATTACAATTCTTATGAATAAATTAGATATGATACGTAATCAAATCCTTCATAACCCGAGTCAAAAAAATTAGGTTAAGGTTAGCCGAATAAATTTTGGGTCGAGTTTAGGTTGAAAATTTTAAGCTGCTTAATTTTGTTGGGTCGGGATCAGTTTGACACGTTAAGTCAGAATTGACCGCTCAACCTTAAATTGACTTGAAATTGACCTATCAATCAGGATTTGAGTCAAATTGAATTAATTTTGACCTCAATAACTATTATTTCTTAAGTTAACCAGTTTATGCAAGTTGGGTTTGGTTTGGCGGGTTGAAGATGGTCATGTTTGGGTTGAATTTTTTGACCTGTTTAATGTTCTAGTCGTTTTCGGGTCAAAATTGTTTCAGATTGGGCCAATTTTAGGTCAGACCCGAACCCGACCTGGAAACTCGATTTGACACCCCTATGTGCAACCACTGCAGGCATTCTCCTTTAACATAAAAAACTCTCTCATTTTTATAGCTTTAAACCTTTATTAATTTTATTGCCCCTTTTCTCAAAAAATTCCTTCAAATGAAATTCTGAATATCGGAGCGATGATGGATGAATGCATAATGAGAGGGGCACTTGCATGAGCAAATAAAACTCGAAGAATCCACGCGTTTGAAATAATATTTTTAACATGTGTTTATTATAATTCCCTTTTAGAAAATTTGATCATATAATATAATTTCAATGTATATATGTAGAAAATTTTGATTATATATGCCTAACTTTAGGTCTAATTGGATAAATATGCTTTTTTATATCTTTATTTGAGTAAATAAGCTCTAAATTATTTTTTAAGCTAAAATAATAGCAGGAGGTACTCTGATGCTCTCTTCTATTGATGTGCTCATTTGAGTTAAATTTGTATCGAACCTTAAGATGAATCTACAAAGCTTACAAGCTTTTCATGAGCTTCTACAAGTCTTAAATAGATTTCAGAGAAGGCATCTCTGGACTACATTAGCTTTGAATCACTTTTCTAATGCCAAATAACCTACGAACTTTTGTTTCTGAAGTTCAATATAAGCACTTTGCATAATTTAGCTTCATGTTGTATGTCTGGAGAAAAGCGAAGCTCTCAATGACGCATGCAAGGCGATCTTTGTTATTAGGAAGATATTAGGAAGGCAATTTTTTTAGATGTTACACTAGCTACATGTCATCCATGATGTCAATGAAAGACCAACTTTATACCCTTATATAGGAGAGATTATTGCGTGCGGACACGAGATGCATGCATGCATGCATCTCTGCATGCGGTGTCCGATCCTGGCTATTTCTGTTTTTTTTTATATAAAAAAAAAATTTAGGTGGGGCCCACCGAAAGACATCGGGACCGTAAATCAGGTGATCTACGGTCCAGATCGGGCACCGCACGCAAATAATTTTTCCTTATATAGAGGCATAGATGATTCCATCCACAATGAATTAGTTATGTAACTAAATAAATATGAGCTAATTTAGATAAAAAACGAGCTCACTAAGAAACTTAAATAAATATTTTTGTTATAAGAGTTTTAACTATTCTGCACACAACTACATATATTATGACCAATCAAGTATTGATTATGATTCATTCATGGCCTGGTTGTTGGCACTTAGACCGATTAAAAATATCATGATTCAAGCAATAATGTGTAAGAATTGAATCATACAAGTATTTGAATCAAACCTTCCCTCCCGTAAGTGTCGCCTCTTTCCTCTCTAATCATAGGATTTTCAGTTTTTTCTTTTTTTTTTTTTTTCTTTTACCCGTGATTGCCTTGGTTGTGTTGTCCTTTCTGATTGATCGAATCACATAAATTTCTTACCTTTTTTTTCTTATTTGCTTGTCGTCTTCTCACACAACCTCACTATTTTATTTAAGAGCAAACAAGGGCTAGGGCATCACAACTTCTCTCCTATATAAATCGATGATTCCAACAGAGATATCTTTCTCTCTCTCATAGAGATATCTTTCTCTCTCTCACCTCACTCTCCTTTACGATATCGAAGATAGAGCCGGTCTCATTTCTTATTCCTTCTTTCCCTTTAGTAGCCATGTTTTTGTGTGTGTATGTGTGTGTGTGTGTGTGTGTGTGTGTGTGTGTGTGTGTGGAATCCAAATTTGTCCCGTGTGGCATGCCTAAGGATCAGAACGGTAGATCAAACTTGGGTTCGACTCTTAGTTTTTGACATGTTTATTATTCGGGTTGACCCTATTCAGGTAGGGCCTTTTTCGAGTCGGACCCAAACTCGATTCGCTAACCTGTATAGACACCCCTAGTTATTAAAGTCATTCGTTACAATATTCATGGTAGACTACTGCCTTCGTAGCAATCAACTACGACATTTGTGTCAAGGCAGTTTTAAAAATTTGAGTAACGATGGAGACAATTTAGCTATAATGCATGAATATTTCTGAGCATTGTGTCAATGATAGGGTGGCTCTTGAAAGTAATTCATTGCATGACCTGAATACAGTGAAAAATATGCAGGGTTCGTTGCACTGACGCCCGTGTATAGGCAAATATTTAATATTACGGACGAATACTGACAAGGAAGTTAATCAGTGAAACCAATATTAGGATAGAAATTTAAAATATAGGTATTCTCATAAGTAAATTAATGAAATTAATAAATATTATAATTTATAGGACAATAAAATCTTATGCATTCAAGAAACTAAATGTGCTGGAGAAAAAGCTAAGAAGATTAATAACTTAGATTTTTAACTTTGGTATTCATACAAGAATCATACTAGAAATGATGTTCGTGTAATTATAGATAAGAGTTTGAAATATAATGTTGGTGTTCGTGTAATTATAGATAAGAGGTTGAAACATAATGTTGTAAAAATTAATATAACTTGGGATAATTATAACTCTAAATGTGTGGTCTGCTATTGTTATTATCGTCAAGAACTACAGTAGTTGTAGCTTCATTATGCCTATGAAAGCTGGACTAGTATTCTACATTTGTAATTATCAACTTTGTGATTTCATCTTTTCTAATTCATGAGAAGAGTTCCCTATTTAGAAGAAGAGTGGATCAATGTAATTATAATTTCATGGTGGATTAGTTTGTGTGGGCTGGACCCTGTGATTTTTTCTTTCCAAGATTTTTTCATATAAAATTTCTTGTGTCTCCTCGAGTAATATTATATTTATTTGTGTGTATGATGAATTTTCGTATAACATTATGACGATAAATTTTGACTCTACCGCCGTGAATTTTCTGGCACGCAACAATAATATATTTAAAATATTATATGATATTTACAATAATTAAATAAATATATAATGAACTCATATAATAATAAATTTATTTTAATTTTTATAAGATTAAAAATCCATTTAAAGCACTTCAAACTCAATTGAAGATGAAGTATTTATATGATCATAAAGATTATTACCATGACATCTAGAAAGTCAATTTTCTTATTAAATATAAAATATTTAGTATAAGAAAAAAAAGCTAAGAACATAAACCAAATATGCAAAATAAAACTAGCATTAAGCAATACTAATTTATTAAAAAATATATTTTTTTTAAACTAGACAGAAGTGATGATCTCACTTTATTTGCAAAATATGTTCATAAAAGTAAAATTTATACATATACGCATCTCTTAATTATTTTTATTTTTTAATTGAATGTATAAATATAGTATTGACACATATGAGCATTTGTTATATGAATAGGCATGTTCTTCATACATTTTTGGGGCATTTTCATGCATACCTCATAATTCCTATGTATTTATACATCTAACACCTATATTTAACAGCAATTTTACCATCTAAACCTTTCATGCAGAGGGTGAAAGCATATGTAAAAATTAAATTTATGACAGATATGTAAATATATTGGTCGGACTATTAAAAGAGAAAAATTTGCGTATGTAAGGCGTACATAGTGCTGCGTACGTCAGAGAGGTTATTCAGGGGCTATTGGAGAGTTATTTCTGTGTTATACCCCTGTAATCTCCTTGTAACCTTCCTGTAAACTATCTATAATCTACAAATATATGAAAACAGAAACGCAGAACTTATTAGAAGTTACAGGTAGATTACATGTATGTTACATGGAGGTTACAGGGGATATAATACAAATATAACCCCTCAACAACTTCTGAATAACCTCCCTGATGCACGCAGCATTGCGCAAGGCTTACATTCAAAGGAAGGATAGCATAGGACACAAATGGGTTGTTTTAACCAAAATGGTGAGGAAAATAAAGAAACTTGTAAATTTAACAATTTCAGGGGGGCTGCTTGCAAAGTCTCATTTTAAAGCAACCACAGGGATTCTCGTCCGTGATTGGATGCCGCTCAAAAGAACATGGGAATGCACCAATTCTCCACCTCACCCTTCGCCTTTACCGTTCCTCCTTTTCTTCTTCTTCTTCTTCTTCTTCATCTTGTGGTATTCAAGTTTTCTTTGTATTCTCATGCCGTGATTCCTCTTCCCTCTGAAATTGATATCCTTAGAAGAAGAGCAATCCGCTGAATTTCAGCTCCCGCCACCCGCCTTCCGCCGGAGTTCTGTTTTCTTTGTCGACCTTCCGACGAAATTCTCGACGCTGTTAAAGGGTAATAAGTCGTTCTCTATCTTCCATTTCCTCCTCATGATTCAATAATTTTGGTGTGAAAGCATCATGCTTTTTTTGATTCGTTGCCTAGTTTCCGGTGCCGTTGGCTTGCATACAAGTTGCTTGATGATTTATTTTTCTATTGGTTTTGACCTATAATATGGAATTCTAGTCATTGCTTTGCTGTGTTTTGTTTTCTAAAGTATGGAGTTTCTTAATCTTATTCTGACTATATTGTAGTAAAATTATGTTCTGTTGAATTTGATCTTAGTTGCTTCAGAATAATGTTTTCTCTTCTGTGTTTCGATGCTCTTAGTTTATGGTTGATGCGCAATGAAGCTTCTTTGAATATTTATTGTCCTGTAGCGCTATATATACATTATACAATGAATTTAGATTCACTTAAATGACTTATTCTAACAAAGGAATATATATATATATATATATATATATATAATTACTATCCCAATAGGTTGGAGTTTTTCTAATTAAGGCTTTAAATCATGAAGAATTATGATATTACATTGCATATGATGGCTTTAAGTTGGTACCAGTTCAGGGAATAACAATTTGGCTAGTATGTGGTTAATCAATTCTTTACTTGGATTTGTACTACACGAAAATAGTGCTTATCACAAGGCAATTTTAAAATTTCCACTAACAATGGAGATGATTTAGACATAATGTATGGATCATTTAAATCATTGTGTCAATACTTGAGTCTCCTAAAAAAATGCACTATATGACTTGAATACAGTGAAAAATATGCAAGGGTTACTGCATTGACGCCCGACTGTAGTATTAAATAAGCAAGGATTTTCATATTATGGACAAATGTGGCAAAGAAGTTTGTCCATGAAACTAATATTATAGTAGAAATTTAAAATATAGGTACTTTCATAGGTAAATTAATGAAATTAGTAATTATTATCATTCATAGGAAGATAAATATATTTTGCTTTCAAGAAACTAAATGGGTTGGAAAAAATACTAAGGAGATTGACAGCTTAGATTTTAAACTTTGATATTCGGATAGAAATCATATTAGAAATTGTGTGGGTGTGATTATAGATAAACATTTGAAAGATATTGTCATAAAAATTATTAGAATTAGAGATAAAATTATCATTTTAAAGATTATGGTTGATAGTAAGATTTTTAGTGTTGTAAGTGATTATCCTCTCCAAGTAGATTTGGATATTTGTTCAAAAAAAATTTGAAAAGATCTAGAAGAATCAATACAAAGACACCTCTTAAGGAAAAAAAAATTTATTGAAGGATATTTAAATAGATAGTTTGGTAGAATAGTAAGAGATTTTAGTAATATTCATGGTGATTATAATTTTAGAGTAACTAATGAAAAAGATAAGAGTCATATTAGATTTTGCTTTAGCTTATGATTTTTTTATTTCTAATATTTTATTTAAGAACATAGATGACTATATTATCAATTATAAGAACGGATTTAATAAAACATAAATTGATTATGTTCTTATAAGAAAAGTAGATTGTTGAGTTTGTAAAGATTGTAAGGTCATTTCAATTAAAATTGAAGTAGTTAATATCAATTATTGATTTTAGATTTTAAGATGAAGGGTTGGACATTAAAAATACAATAAAATATTATCATAAAATTAGACAAGGCACTTAAAAGTCATAAAATTATTTTTGAGTAAACTTCAAAATCTTGAAATTTGGGATATTCTTAAGCAAGTTGCTAAAGAAGTGTTTAAACAATCAAAAACAAAAACTCTTATATATAAAAATAGTTGGTGGTTGAACAATAATATGCGAAAAGATAAAAAGTAAAAAAAAATTGTTATAAAAATTTACTTAGATGTAAAAAGCTTGTAGAATTGTGAAAAATATAAGGTGACCTATAGGAAGTCTAAGAGAATAATTTGTGATACTAAAATATATATTTCAAATGATTTTTATAATATATTAAATATTAAATATGTTGAAAGATATATGTATAAACTATAAACTAGCAGAAGAAAAAGTAAAGATGTAGTTCAAGTGGATTAAGGATAAAAATAAAAAAAAAAATTTTTTTTTAAAGTTGAGGATATTCAATATAGGATAATGAGATATTTTGATAAAATTTTCAATGAAGATTATGAAAATTTGATCGATCTTAGTGATATTAATATCGTAAATAATAATAAAATTATTTATTTCCATTGTTGCATTAGTAAAATAGAAAATTGAGTAGACTTTAAAGAAAATAAAGTGTGGAAAAGCAATTGAACCTGATAATATTCCAATAGAAGTGTGAAAATATTTAGATCTTAAAATGACTTATTAAACTTTTTAATATTATTTAAAAGGCTAAAAATATGTCTGATGAATGGAGAAAGAATCTATCAGTTTCCATTTTTAAGAATAAAGGGGATGGATGAGAGTGTGCAAATTATGAAAGAACTAAATTAATGTTTCATACATTAAAGTTATAGGAAAGAGTAACTGAACATAGATTACAACTTGATAAACAAATTTCTCAAAATTAATTTGATTCATTCCAAAAAATATATCATGGAAGCTATACATTTGTTGAAAGGTTTGATGGAGATGTATAGCGAGATTAAAGCGAACCTAAATATAATTTTCATTGATCGAGAAAAAGCTTATGATAAGTTTGCAAGAGAAGCACTTTAGAGAGTTATAGAAAAAAAAGGATGTTGATATTGTTTATATTCAAGTCATTAAAGATATATATACTATAGTTGTTACTTGTGTTCAAACACAAGGATGTTTGACGAAGTATTTTCTTATTCAGTTGGATGACATCAGGGATCAACTTTAAGCCCATATCTTTTTGCTTTTGTTATGGATGTACCTTTTTGTATGTTTTTTGTTGATGATATGTTTATTGTGAATAAGATTAAGAGAGTTCAGAAAAAACTTGATTTATGAAGGTTAAGTTTAGAGTCTAATGATTTTCGTTTTAACAAATCTAAAATTGAATGCATGAAATGCAATTTTAGTAATAATAGGGTCTAGTATCAGGGTGATCAAGTCATTAAAAGGAGTGAATATTTTAGATATCTCGAGTTTATTGTTCAAAGAGATAGTGATATAGATGGGGTTGTTATTAGAATTCAAGTTGGATGGGTGAAGTGGAGGAATGCATCTGACCTATTGTGTGATAAAAAAGTATCACTTATACTTGATGGAAAATTTTATACAATGATGGTGAGACTTGCAATGTTTTTTGGCACAGCATATTGGCTTGTAAAAGAGAAGTGTAAAGTTAAGTTTAAGTGTTGTTGAGATGAGAATGCTCGGGTAGATGAGTCCTACCGTCACTTCTTTATTGACCGGGGAAGCCTTAGCTTTATAGTTAGAGACAAAATGTGAAATGAATATATTCCTGAAAGGGTTGGTGTAGTTCCGGTGGAAGGAAAGATTAAAGAGACTCGCCTCTGATGGTTTGGTCACATTAAACGTTGACCATCTGATGATCCTGTTAGGAGAGTAGATGTTTTAGATTCGGCTTATGCTAAGAAAGGTACAAATAGACTTAAAAAGACTTGAACATGTTGTATAAAAATGATTTTAATTTATTAGAATTAAATTAATATATGGAATTCAGTGGGACACAATGGAGAAAAAGGAGTCATGTAGCTGACCCTACTATTGGGATAAAGGCTTGTTGTTGTTGTTATTGTTATTGTTGCATGGATTCATGGATATTGATCATTCACAACAAAGTATCTAGTTTGTTGGTTGTGAATTCTGCTTAAATAAAATTTAGATGTGCAATATTATACTCTGCAAAAATTATTTCTTAAGTAATAGGGCCGCCCATTTTTGTGTTAAGCGTGCCCTTAGTGGCTCTTTCTTTTTGATGCATATAGATGATGATAGAGACCTTTCTACTATGTTTGTAGATGGCAGGGCTCACTTTTGTACATTATAGGTGCATACTTGCATATTTTTTGTAATTTTTGATATAATAATACAAATGCATATTTCAAGAAAAATTATTCCTTAAATTTTGGGATTTTGTTGAAGCTTGTGCCTTGAGCTTGGCGGCCTAATAGGTCACATATCCACGTAGGCTTGGTGCCCTATACTTTGGCTTGGAGCACAAGCATAAAAAAAAGTTCAAATTTTTTAGATTTTTTTGTGAGGCGAGCATTACTCAAGTAAGCATTCCTATTCATTTTGTCAACTCATGCAATAATGAACATCCACAAATTAAGAACGAGGATTTGTGAAGATGACTCAAATTGTTGGGACAAGGTTGATGTTGATATTTTCTTGGGACATTTACATACATACCATCCTATTCTTATGTGTTTCCAAACTAACACCTAAACTTTAATTTCTACATTTACACCACCCAAATCTTCAATACCACATAAATAATGTCACCATTTTAACTTTTAAAAGTTAAACACAGCTTTTCATGCATAGGTGTATGTATGTAAAAATTGAGGTTTAAGTGTTAGATATGTAAATACATAAGAATTGAGTGCTATGTATGTATATCTTCATATTTTTTTGGTACTTATCACATATTTGTAATCCATGCAATTAGAATGACGATATAAATGTGCTAGATTTTTTGAGATGTTACCTTTTTGGCTATCAGATAGGTCATGTCTAGCATTTGATGAGAACATGGAGCTAAATTTCAGGCTTCATCAAATTATGCTTAGAATATATATTTTTTTAATTTTATGCTTCTTGTTGGGTGATTACTGAATATAACCACAAGTTGTTCTTCTTTTCTAGCAGAAATAATATGGCTAGTGGCTTGTTAAATGGGAATGCCAATTTACAATGTGGTGCAATGCTGTCAATCAAGGGCAGTCATTGTCGAAGTTTTATGGCATTTGGTGTTTCTTTCAGAAATTGTTTGCAAAGTGATGCTTCAAGGTATCTCGAATAAACTAAAATTTATACTTTGGGTGAGCTAATAGCTCTCAATAGGCAATATGCACTTTCATACAGCTGAGATTGATTTCTTTCACCTACTTGATATGAAATATCTTCCTGCGGTATAGTTTTATCGTCGACCATAGTTGTGCGCTTTCAATAGTCAAGAACCATAATTCGGCATACAGTATTTGAAATTGAGATTGCTCATCACCAAGTATCTTTACCTTTCAAACGTTCTCGCATCTTAGCTGAAAATTATCTTATGAGTTTATTTAACTGAGAAATTTTTGCTTCATTTATTTGTTTCTTAACACTACGGAGGAAAATTGTCTTATGAGTTTATGTTTTATCCTTACTTTGTTTTCTCTTGTTATGCTCTCTTGGCCTACGTTTTTTTGTGAAACAAACTTTCATTGCACCATTTTCATTCCATAAGCTTGTCTAAGCTCATGAGTAATAATGTCCTTTCAACAGATTTTCTTATTTTATTTTAACCCTCATTTACTTGCTGATTGTTTGAAGCAATTCATGTATTCGAGAAACATTCTAATGTTAAGCAGGTGGCTTCTCAGTTACGTCCTTTTGCTGGACAGTTAACATAGCCTTTGATCATAAGATTAGTTCCTTCAATTCGCATACTTTATGGTACCATAAAATTGTTTTTGGGGCATATTGCTCAGAGTATTATTCTTTGAAGAAGAATAGTTTGTACTACTTTCATATATGAATACCAGTACATAATTGTTTGGAGAAAAGTGTCAAAATAGTCCCTTGATTTTTTACAGTGAGCCATTTTAGTCCCAGAGCCTACAAAGTGCCATATTAGTCTTCAGAATTTTTTAATAGTGGTTGAAATCGTCACCCGTGGAGATCATTTCAGCCCATATTGAAAGAGACTACAGCCTAATTTGGCTCTTATGTAGACTCTAGGACTGAAATAGTCAGAAGACAATTCGGGCACTTTAATTGTTTTCTAGTGTACTTTTTGGTATCGATTATATGCTTGGAATAGTTACTTTTTTATTTCTCAAGTTCTATTATTATTCCTGCACTTTTTCTGTATTCACTTCCAGTGCTGTTTTTTGGTTTTGAGGATATAAATTTATACTTTCATACCTCATTTTACAGAAATTTAAGGTTGTTATGTTACAAGCAATTCAACTCTTTCAAAGCCCCTTCTAATTACTGCAAGAACACAGAGAGTATTCCAGTCCTCTCGTGCTTGCAAGAGAATGTTACAAAGTACTTTGATTTTGTAGTTGTTGGCAGTGGTGTTGCCGGATTAAGGTATGCTCTTGAAGTTTCAAAACATGGTTCTGTTGCTATAATTACCAAGGCTGAGCCTCATGAATGCAACACAAATTATGCACAAGGTGGGGTCAGTGCTGTATTATGCCCTTCAGATTCTGTAGAGAGTCATATGCATGACACAATTGTTGCAGGAGGTTATTTGTGTGATGAAGAAACGGTGAGGGTAAGCTTCTCATGGTCATTCTTCCGGATTAACCGTCTTCCACATTCTCTGAAAAGTATGATTTGTGTCATAGTATATAGAAATTTACTGTCATTAATATAATATCTTGTTTATATCTAATGAGAGAAAAGCTTGAAATAATCTCCTAACTATTCGTATGTGATCAATTTAATCTCTATAATATTAAATTTCTCCAATTTAGTTTCTCGACTGTACAAAAATGATCTCAAATGGTCCGTTGGATCGAATTATTTGGAAATTATCATACAAATTTGGTTTGAGTAGTGCTTTGATTATGTAATATTGATCATAATTGGGTTGTGAAGGACAATTTAAGATCAATTTTGTACCGTTGAGTGACAAAATTTAAGAAATGTGATATTTTGGGTCTAAGTTGGCTACATATGAATAGTCAGGGGGCTGTTTTAGGCTTTTCCCTATTATATATATATAATTAATCTAGTCTATTAGGGAATTAAGCTCATAAGGATTCTCAAGTGGGTTGTTGAGTCCTGTAGGAGGACAAAAACAAGCTGAAGCCTTCAATAGGTTAACTTATCGTCAATAGAAAGTTTAACAGTCTCAATCTTCTGACAAGATACATCTATTTTTCTAATAATTTACACTGTTTTTAATAGATATTTTTCATTATTATTTTTAATTTATCTGTATCATACAAATTTTTTTGCCGACTTCTAAGATTATGGTGGTTAATCAAGTTCACAACAACAACAACAAAGCCTTAATCCCACTATGTGGGGTCGGCTACATGAATCCTTTTTCTCCATTGTGTTCTATTCAGTGTCATATTTTCATTTAGTTCTAGTAAATTATCAAGTTCACAACATTACACACAAACTATTTAACTTAATTGCTTAGACATTTACATACATACCACACAATTCTTGTTTATTTACATATCTAGCACCTCAAGATTCATAATTACATGCATGCCTCTCAATTTAACATCACATCAAAAATACCACCATCATTGTCATTTTAAAAGTGAAATACACATTTTCATGCATATGGTTATGACACCGAGGTATTATAAGTGTAAATATCAAACTTTGGATGTTATACATGTAAATACATAAGAATTGTGTGATAAGTATGTAAAGTTCTCTTATGTTTAATACCTGCTGTGAGTTTCTCTGATGTTTTGAAAGTGTTTGGAACCTTGCTAGCTCCATGATCAATAAGAACCTGCTACAAGTCATTCATATAATATAGAGCTTCTCTCACCTTCTTGATTCAGGTTGTTTGCACAGAAGGTCCAGAAAGGATTAAGGAATTAATAGCTATGGGTGCATCATTTGATTATGGAGAAGATGGGCAGCTACATCTTGCGAAGGAAGGGGGTCATTCTCATCACAGAATAGTTCATGCTGCTGATATGACCGGCAGAGAGATTGAGCGGGCCTTACTAAAAGCTGTTGATGATGATCCTAATATATACATATTTGAGCACCATTTTGCCATAGATTTATTGACTTCACAGGTTATTTTATAGCATTTTTCCCCATTTTCTCCATCCAATATTAGCCTTATTCTAGCTTGAATATTTTCAATAAGCTTACAAGGAGCTTTAAAATGTTTTACTTTTTATGTATTTACATCTCTACCACCTTAAGTTTGATATTTACACTAGTAACACTGGTGTCATAAACCTATGCATGAAAAGATGTATCACTTTTAAAAAGTTAATGATGATATTTTTTTGAATAAGATGTTAAAAAGTTTTTGAGTGTTATAAATGTAAATATGAAAGTTTAAGTGTTAGATATGTAAACATATAAAAATGTGTGGTATGTATGTAAATACCCCAAAGAAAAAAAAAATGTTCTTCAGTACTGTTTCCATTGAGGGTAGAGATTGTTTTAAAAGTTAATGAAAATTATTAATTGGGAATCTTGGGTGTGAATTTGCAGGATAATGAAGAAATATACTGTCATGGTGTGGATACATTAAACACGGAAATACAACAGGTTAATTGTCTGTTGTAAATCATATATTGTATGAATCTTTGCACCCTTTAGAAGTTAGATTTTCAGATTTCGGCATTCATCATAATCTTAGATTTTAAAATATTCAGATAGTACGCTTCATGGGAAAGGTGACATTGCTCGCATCCGGAGGAGCTGGACACATCTACCCGTTAACAACAAATCCACTGGTAATCCATTTTTTCTCTTTTGATTGTTACTAATGCTATCCTTGGAATGTTTGAGACAAATAATTTGTGAGGCAGTCTCAGTAATGAATATTAATTACTTCTCTATCTTATGACGATAAGATTTGAGTAAATTTTTTGATGATCATGTTATCATTTGCATGCTTGTAGGTAGCTACAGGAGATGGGATTGCTATGGCACATCGCGCTCAAGCTGTAATTTCTAATATGGAGTAAGTGTTTGCTCCTTATGTGCTTATATCAATGACTCTTCTGTGTAAATTCAGTGGCAGAATTAAAATTTAAAGAAATGGGTGGCAAAATAAAAAATAAATTGCATACATATCACACAATTCTTATGTATTTATATATCTAACACCTAAAATTTGATATTTAAATTTATAGCACCTTGGTATGATAAACTTATGCATGAAAATATATATTTCACTTTTAAAAAGATTGATGGTGATATTTTTTATATGATGTTAAAGATTTTAGTGGAATTTTGTCAGAGTGGTATTTGTGCAAATATGAATATTTAGTTGTTAGATATGTAAATACATAAGAATTGTGGGATATGTATGTAAATGTCCCAATAAAAAATTAAGAGAAAGTATTTAAGTTTAAATTTTCTCTCCCCTTAAATTTTTTAAAACTATTATAAGCATGATTATTAAATTAAAAAGGGACATTTACATACAATGTCATACATAGCACACAATTCTTATACAATTACATATCTCACACCTACACTTTCATATTTACACTCATAGCGCTCAAATATTTAATATGACATCAATAACAGCACTATTACCCCCATCTTAAAATTCATTTCCATCTTTTCTTGCATAGGTTTAAAGCACCAAAGTGCTATATGTAAATATGAAAGTTTAGGTGTGAGATATGTAAATCCTTAAGAATTGTGTGCTGTGTATGTAAGTTTCCGAATTAAAAATACTATGGTTCAACTACTAAATTGTAATGGTTGATACTTGAAATCTGAATCATTTTTCCAAACTCAAGATTCGTGCAGTTCCATCCAACAGCTTTGGCTGATGAAGGCCTTCCAATCAAACCAACAAAAAAGCGAGAGAATGCTTTTCTAATCACAGAAGCAGTGAGAGGAGATGGAGGCATTCTCTACAACAAGTCCATGAAAAGGTTCATGCCTCTGTATGACGAAAGAGCCGAACTTGCCCCTAGAGACATTGTCGCTCGAAGCATAGATGACCAACTCAAGAAACATAGCGAAAAGTATGTGCTCCTCGACATAAGTCACAAACCGAGGCAACAAATTCTCTCACACTTCCCTAATATCGCTGCCGAATGCCTCAGCCATGGCCTTGACATTACCTCCATGCCAATCCCTGTTGTTCCTGCAGCACATTACATGTGTGGTGGTGTGCTTGCTGGACTTCATGGGCAGACTAACATCAATGGTTTGTATGTAGCTGGTGAGGTTGCCTGCACCGGCTTACACGGAGCGAACCGGCTCGCGAGCAACTCGTTGCTTGAAGCGCTCGTCTTTGCAAGAAGAGCAGTCCAGCCTTCAGTAGAGCACATGTCTAGCTCAAGCATTATTACAAAGCATTTAGACATTTGGGCAAATCCAGTTCGTCCTGTTTCTCTTGAGGACAGCACTTTGGAGGATATAAGCTTGAAGACAAGACAGATCCGTGAGGATTTGCAAAGAGTGATGTGGGAGTATGTAGGCATAGTTCGTTCGACAAATCGTTTGAAGAATGCAGAGTGGAGAATTGGGGATTTGGAGGTTGAGTGGGAGGAGTTTCTGTTTTGCAGAGGGTGGAAGCCAATGATGATAAATTCTGAGACTTGCGAGTTGAGGAATTTGTTCTGTTGTGCCAAGTTAGTTGTGAGTAGCGCGCTTGCGAGGCATGAGAGCAGAGGGCTGCATTTCACTGAGGATTTTCCGTATGTGGAGGAGAGTAAGAGGAAGCCAACGATTATATTTCCAACTTCTTCTGAGAAGATCACATGGAGCTCACAGCAAGTTCATAAGAAAGTCCATTGCTGAGAACTTCTGATTGGTTTTTTATACATTGAAGTCCCGAGATGAAGGTATGGAATTACTGCATTGATTAGTTTGGTTGTGCTTCAGGGTCCATTATGTTCGTAACCACTTTTCTTTTTTCAATACAGAAGCATAGAAAAATTATATATTCATTGTATTTTTGGTGAATTATTCTTATTTTTCAAAATCTAATATTTCTAGTGGAATGTTATGATGTAGTTTATGTTAGTTAGAACTTTCTTTCGGGCTGTTGAAACTTTTTTTAAAGATGATTGTAAAGCTATAGCAGGGAAAGCAACTTCTTCAAAAGCTGCAACAGGAATTATAAATATTTATTTTTTTCAAAAAGTCAATTAACGGTTTTCTCACCGTGATCACAGTTTTACATATTTGATTGCAAAAAGTAGCTTTCTATTACGACACGAAGATAGTTATTTTTCATCTAACTTCTATAGGTTTATATCTTCTATTTTTTATCCAAGTCCTATAATTTTTATATCCACTTTCCTCTTAACAACTAATACTATGATACCTACTACCATCTATCCAGTAAAGTTAAAATTGTTGTTCATCATTTTTTAGCATTTTACAAGGAGATGATTCTTAGTGTTGAAGCATCTTACAGACATAATGGAAAGAATAGCAAGAGTGGGGAAAGTCCTAAGCTTTCAGTCACATTGAAGAAAACCTCTTGTAGTAGAATGAGATAATAGAGAAGATAATAGCAGCAGCTTCTGTTGCTTCTCCACATTTGACCCTTGTCATTTTTATAGGAGCTGGCTGTGTTTGTTTTAGTCATTGACATAGAAAATGGTATCCCTATCTTTTTCTTTTAATGTATAGAAAAAATTTTAGTGCGCTCTACTTTCAAAATTTAGTGGAATATTTAATCTCTTTAGGGCTACAAATGTAGGTGAATATCACTAAATTACATCAGCTTGTGTATCTTATGATTATGATCTTTGGTGTGTTTATTCTTCACTTTCTTTTAGTTTTGCTCAGAATTTTATCATTTTCCTGAAAATTCGAATCAGAGCTGTAGATTAAGCTACATAATAATTTAAGCAATGGAATACAAAAATGTCAAGACTGCCAGATTTTATGGGTGAGACTTTGGTTGTTAGAAGATGTAAATAAAAGATCATCTTTATCAAATAAAGCTTCATCAGTCTTTGAAGATATCAAATCCTTCTGCTGTTGATCAAAATAAATGAGAGTTGATGGACAAGTTAGTCCTAAGAGTTATTCATCTATTTTTGAGAAAAAAATGTTGTCTTTAATGTTCTTGATGAAAATACCATAGTAGATATGATGAAGGCATTCTTTTTTATATGTATTAGAAGTCCTCTTTTATCAATAAAGTGCATTTGATGCACAAATTTTTTAATATCAAGCTTCCAAAAGTAGTATTTTCTGTTGAGCACATCAATGAGTTCAACTTACTGTTTGACGCAGCTGCAGCTTTTCAGCTTTGCAGCTGCAGTTGCGCTGCCCAGGAAGCTGCGGCGGGGAAGCTGACTGTCTGTTTGGTGCAGCTGTGTGAAAACAACTGCGGGGTAGTTTTTTCTGTAAAAATGACCAAACTGCCCTTATTTGTTAAAACTGTAAAAAAATTATTATGTATTTATATGTGGAGGTGTAATATATGTAAAAATTTTAAAAATATTATGTATTAATTATTCATATGAAATAAATTAAAGTTTTATATACGTGTTTATATATATATTTTAAATTCCTATAAAAATATTTAAAAGTATGATATTTTTTATTTATATATATTTATAGGAGCAATTTAAAAGTTTAATTGATTTACTATAAAAATAATTTTGTTTATTTGTAAACATATATGATATTAAAATCTGTTTATGTATATATATATGTATGTTTAAAAATTTTAAGTGTATATGTATGAAAAAATTTTAAATTTAAACATCTTTAAAAACTTGTCTTCATCCTCGAGGGGAGGGGAAAATCGCGTACCGGATAGAATTTTGTAAAAGGGGGCAGCGAGGTAAAAGTGGCGTCAGGAAGCTGGGCAGCGGCACATACCCAGCTTCCTGCTTTCCCCTAAGAACCGCGGGAAGCGGCTGCCTCACCAACCCAGCTTTCCGCTTTCCCCTACAAATCGCGGGAAGCGGCTGCCT